TATTACTTTTCAACATATATACAATTTATTTTTTTATCTTTTCGATAGTCAAGTTGGCACACTGTTAATTGAAACCTTGCGAATTTCCTTAAAAATATTATTTATTATTTTTATTCCGCACAATAGCAATTTTACTGTTGCCCCTATATTACTATAAACTATTTATTAAACAGACACACGAAGCCTTTCTGGTAAGCCTTGTGAACTATTGCAGCCTTCAAGGTTGCTCCGATGCCGGTCTGCCTGCTGTTCACGCTGAATTACTGCTGCTGCTATCTGAGTTGCGCGTGGCTCACGTCTATCCTTTCCGTTGCCAGACTAATTCTGTTACTAATGCTGCCGGCGCCACTGCTTCTACGCCCAACATGCTTTCTGCAGCCGTGGTACCGGCAGGTCAAGCACTGCCAGAGGCCGCCTCTTCTTCGGCTGTCCCAACTTCTGTATTACCAGCCATGGCAACCAACCCTTGTCGGCCAATTATTTTAACCACTCCAAGTTATCTGGGCCTCGCCAATCTCAACGTTGTAACTAGGCTTCTCGATTCTGTTCCTTTACTCCGAAGTCTGCTTCTCACTCGACCAAGCACAACATTTTTACCTGGTCCTATGTGGCATATAAAGGTTAGTCCATGTTCTTCCGATATTGTCTTAAAGTTGCTCCTTAAATATAGAGTCGAATTTTATCCATCCATTCCCTCCACATGTTCACTAACAACTTTAATTTTCGAAGAACGGTATTTGTGCACTATTTCGTAAAGGTAATGAGGACGTTAGAGATCTGTTAGTCTAAAAGACAGATACCTCTTATACTCCTTATGGCTTGTTTCTGTGATGATGTCGAATGCGCTCTGCTTAACGTTTATTAGTGCCGCCAGTAAAAGATCTATCTCATTAAGGTATGATGTACGCTGTATGCGTGAGCATTAAAAAACGAATATTTCCTTACCTCATTTGTGATATTTCACATGTATTTTTTATAGTGGAATCTGTCAAAACCAGCATAACACAAAACCTTTCTTCAAGACAACCTCACACCTATCGAAAATGGCTGAATGTCAAGTAAATGCTGTTGCTCTTGGCTCGTCTGTATTTTATTTTTCTCAAAGCTTACACTACCCTCCTTGCATACTTTTTATTTTATACTTAGGCTTTATTCTTTTATTTAAATATAACTTAACTATTTTTCTTCTGATTATTTCATTTTGTTTTTGTTTTACCTATGTTTATTACCTAGATCTCCCTAGTATAAATTCTGGTTAACCCTCCTCAGTCGAGTAGACTTACGAACCTATTTTTGTCCGTGACGAAAATGTTCACTTTTAAACATAGGCTAAATTTAATAACCCTCAATCTTCTTGATGCTGACGCTAATTCTATTGCCACCTATTGTAGCAGAGGGTTTTTTATGCTACAACGCTTGCTTTTAATTTAATTTACAGTGCATGCTTAGAGATCTCATGTCGTGTCTGGAGACCTTGTCTCCTCCGTACATGCATCCTTTGGAACTTCCGCAACTCGTCTCCTCGATGACTGCTGGCCAGCTGCAAGACACTCTTTCTCTCACCTCTCTTGCCAACACCACAGTCCTGCCTGGAGTATCTGTGACCGGGATTTCTTCTCATGCAGGTTCGACCTTTTCTCCTAACTCTAATTTGGCAACTTTAGCATCAAAGACTACAACACCGCGCAAGATGCTTTCCCAACTTGCATTTGGGCATGTCACACAGGAACGTCGTTATCGACTTCGGCGAGTGCTACTCCTCCGCTGCTTGTGCACCTCACTATCCTCATGTCTTCATCAATGTCTCTCTACAGGAGGTTGGCTTGCCAGAGGACCTCAGTCACCAATACAGTTTGCCTCCGTTACCTTGTCCCAAAGTAGCCAGACACAAAGTCATCTTCGGCAGCATGCTCATTATCACCATCAGCAGTTTAACGTTCCGGGAGCATCGGCAACTCCTTCCACCCGAATTCAACAGTCTTTAGCGGGCAACGGCGTGCCTATGTTTGCTCTCTCTTCTGTGGTTGCAGTCCCTGCCACTCTGGTCACTCCGAGAGCAGGTAAAGCCGTCTCCTATCTCTCCTTTTTTCTATTATCCAATATGCTAACTTGGATTCCGCTGTACTATTTTGTATTAATCATCTATCCTAGGCTGGTTTTTATGGTATGTCATAAATACGATTACATCCTTACTAAGCATAAGCAGAGTTATTAATCCGTTATTAACTTAACCGAATTTTCCTGCAGTTGTTTAATCGCAGAAGATGCAAACGTTAGGCCCAATTAGGACTATGAAGCTCTGTGGAAATCTTTCTCTCACAACCTTTTTTGTTCTTTTAACTCATTAATTCTCTGGTATTATCGTATGATGATTACTAAAACCTGATCATTTTGCGTTTTGCCAATGATTTTCCCAAAATATTTCTGTGCACTTTTCGAAAATTGGTTGTCTGATCTTTGCTCTATTTAGGATTACCTCTGTTGCCCTCTGAGTATGATCACTTTAAATCGTAAAAGGTGATTCATTGTAACCTGGCAAACAAACGGAACTTTCCGGAGTACATAGTGTGCGTGATAATTTCCAGACTCGGAAGGTGGACTTGGTACATTCCCAGACGTTTCGCCGGCATCGTAGTCTGTATCGTCAGTGTGCTTTGCCATTTTTAACACCACAAGATAACTCGTCAAAGAGGCAAGTGAAATCGATTCTTTGACCAATTGTCTTTTAAACAATTGTGGTATCTCTCCTATCCTGGGCTATTCATCTATCCCATATCCTCGTACCACCCTTTCACTATCACAGTTTTTTAATTGCCAATATGACCAAGTTGCGAAAGCAAGGTCGAAAAATTACTATACAACTAAAGGAGACCGCGACCTTCTAAAAGGCCACATCATTTTGATCTTCATGCTTTAGATTAAACTTGATTTTCGTTTGGTTGTTATAAATTTTCTATAAGTTTGTTCTAGCCTATAAACTCAGAAATTTGTGTCCATTATTTGCTCACAATTTTATCACTCTTTTTAATTATTACCTAAGCTTAGTCTTTACATTCCTTGTTTAAGTTTAATTCCTTTTTTCAATCTATTTTAGCTTCCCGTATTAATAGTTCAGGACAACCTCTAATCCCGAATACTGAGCCTTCGAAGTGGCCCGGTAGGTCTATGCATTTCATCATTTAAATGGTTAATATTTTTCATATTTATGATTGGGACTTGATTGATAGTGACTATAAAGCATTTAATGATAAATTAACAATACATTTTTGGGTATATATTCCTAAATCTGCTGATACTCTATTGGTGATAGCCTTTCCTTTTTATTATATTCTTAACAAAACAATTATGAGCTACTTATTCTTCTTAAACATAGAGAAAGGCCAATAGTTTCTCAATTGCTTTTAGACCAGATTAGGATTCTATATATTGCTGTCGCTATCTAACCCTACACATTAGTTCGACTCGATATTCCGTAAAATACGCGCACATATTTCAATATGTTACTGATTACAGTACGATGTTTTTAACGCATTAGGGTATTCTCTAAGTCCTATTTCAAGACATAATTCCCTTAGTTAAGTCTAATGTCTTCTCACTTCAGTTATTGTTGAAAAGACCTTTAAATTACTTAAATATTGGTTCTTTAGTTAATGCCGGGATATTTTTGAATTTCCCTATTAGAATCATAATAACTTTTTATGTTTTAGGCTTCTCGAATATTCGCATTAATTATTGTTTTTAGTTTCTTGAAGAGCGAAAATATGCCTATTGTATGTACTAAAATACTTTAAGAAAAAAGTTGAATTTAGGCTCCTTTTTGTGGCTTGTTAAATATAGGCAGTTTGGATAATGATCGTTTGTGCATGGAAAGCTATTCCCTACTTCCACGTGGTATATGCATTGTGGTCATTTTTTTACTTAAGGCCTTACCTGCCTCCAACCTCTGCTGTCCCCACGCCATCCTGATCCGGACGCCAGCGCATTATTAAATTGCACTTCGGATTGTTCACCGGCTCCAGCTTCTTTTTCAGCCTCAGTTGGTACTGCAGGTCTCGATCTTGGTTGTCCATCCCGTAGTTGGCTCTGTGCTAACAGTCAAAGCAGCAGTGGTAGCAGCTGTAGTTGTTGCGGAGGGTCGGGCGAGAGTAAGGCCGGAGTCAGGTGCAGTGTATCTGGCACTGGTTCTGCTCCCAGCCGCTCCAAAGCCACTTGGGGTGGCTGTGGAGCTTGTAGCCCAATCAACTTTGGTGGCGTCTCACAGAAGCGGCTGATAGGCTTTCTGGCCGAAGCTTTGGTCGGTATTTATCTTGGCCTCTTAGTGTATGCCTTACAGATGCGCGATGCCGGTGGCCTATACCGACTAGCCTCTTGTCGTTTAGCAACGACAAAAAGCTGGATTCGAGTCTTCGGAGGCGGCCATCGGGTCCGGCCCTTCCGACCGCCTGCTCTTCTTTCCACCTCTACAGCGACAACTTCGTCGACCTCTGCTGATGCTGCCATTGTGGGTACATTGACAGGTCAGCTTGTACAGCCTTCATCAGAAATATCAGACTCCTCTTCGAGCCAGGAGCATGCCTCCTCAGTCACTGTTGTTGCGAAGCCTCAAATCATAAGCCGGAAGAACAGTCCAGTGCGTGCGGCACAGCCGCCCGCACAAACCTCTTCAATGCCACCTCCTCCGCGACCTCCACCCAGGTAGTTCCATAACACTAGTTGCAAGTTTTCTCATTCACTTTATTTGTTTTATCTTTACAAATCCTACGCGTATTCAAGTCGAGTTCAAGTTCAGGAAACAAAATTATTTATTTAATATCAGTGGCAATAGCATTAATAAAAGCAACTCTGTGCTCTTGCTCTTAAGCTCACTGTTGCTATTATTTTGTGCGTAAGCATGAATCATATCATTCGATATTTTTGTGACAAGACACTATGACTAGACTAAGCGTGCAGAGCAAAATTAGAGAGTCTGCTCTTTAGGGTGTTGAGCCAATAACGAGTATGACCTATGAATGTTAGTTTATCTGCTTGCCTGATATTCTAAACTTGTCTGAGATAGATTGTGCATTCACCTTCTGGCAAAATGGAAGCCATTTCGTTGTGATTCACTAATATAACAGAGGACTTCGGACAGGATGCGTTCAACTAATTCGCCCTTCCAACAAAACCAAGTTGAGAAAACGAGGTCGAACCACTTTTATAGATCGAAAAGAGACTGCGATCGTACCGAAGGCCACACCATCTTGGTTTAGTCATTTTAGTTGAGTTAAGGGGATTTTAAGGTTGACTTTTGAGTTTAACACACTGAATGGCGTGAAGGTAGGTATGATGGCATCGAAACGGATAGTTAGAAATATACTCAGTTGGTACCTCGTAATATATTGTACTGCAATTACGGGTTGAAAAATTGCCACTTGTCATGCATAACAATTTTTTAGAATCCCTTAATGGGAGCTAATAAGACTCAGCTGAGAACTAAACTGGGGCTGAATAGCAAATATTTTTGCGAGGCATGATCAACGGGAATTAAATGACACTTCTAGGCCTTATACTCATTTTAGTTATTGAAATTATTTTACCAATCCTCCCTTCTTTTTGAGTGACTTAATTTATCCTTGTTCTTATTCACGATCTACTGTTAGTTTCGAAACATATTCAATTGGAATTTCACAAGTTTTATCCCAAAGTTTTTTCATTTTTTTAGTGACTTGGCCATTTTGGCATTGTGATACTTGGGTAATGCTTATTTCTTTCACAGCTTATTCTCTTGTCAATCGCTTTGAATATTTTGCTAGAGTCTTATCGATATAGTGAGGTTAGATGGTCGCTATCAAGCATTATCTAGTCTGCTTTCATTAGTAAACCTATATATCAATAATCTTTAATTAAATAATTAGTTTTCATAATTGAAATATCATGTCTTTTTTCTTTAGGCCATCTCCTTTAAAGTCAAAATGGTAAGATTTTGAGTTAACCTCCTGGTTTTTCCTACATATCGTCATTCCATGTTGTAAAGCTAATTCCTTTATATCCACTCCTTATTCTATCAGAGTGTACTCTATTTATGGTACTAGGAGACTGCAAACAAACACGATACGCTTTTAAGTAACCATTTTTTATATATTTTATCTCTTGGTGTCTTATTCCAATCAAATTTTACGGCACCTTACAGGCAGGATTCTTATAGAGGGTGCGAAAGATTTTTACACAGATCTAGTGTTATTAAAATCTTTTAGTGCTTTCTTGCTTCTTCCTTTTCTCTCAAATTATTTGGATTCTTTTCTTGTCTTCATCTTTTTAAAGTACTCGTCCTACGATAATTAGACCTGCGAAGCTCCCTTCAGGAAATCAGCCAGTAGGTGTCGGCTCGGCTCGAGATCGCGCATTTGCGGCTCAAGAATGTAAGCTCATCATCCATAAATTTATTTCGCCTATACATTTTGACAATACTACTTTTATAAGACCTATATTCATTCTATTTCCTTTAAGGTTATGAAGGACAGTAGTTGAATTTTCTCCACGATGATATGAGTAGACCTTAGGGTTTTATTACCTTGTTTCTCAAAAGATATTCTCATCCAGATTGGAATGGACTGTAATTAATACTTATCCTACATATCTTCAGTATCTTCAGCGGGACTCGAACATGAGTCCATACACTCTAACCACTGGGGGTACTGATCCGACCTTGAAGAGGTCGAGACTGCAATTAATCCTGCATGAGAATACCTTTTTGGAAGCAAGAGTATCAAATTAAATGGAAGCATGAAGCCTTCTCGTATGATATAGCTACCCTAAACGGAATAAGCCTACTCACTAGACGGAAAATACTAACTTTATCCTATTATGTATAAAGACCCATGCTTCACAGCATGTAAACCGACGTTAGGCCTTAAGACAAAGTTGATGGGTACCGTCTCTTTATCGCATTAAGTCGTTTTGAATCCGTGCACCAACTTTGCCCAGATTCATCAGGATAGTTGAAAGAGTTTGGATAAAGAGTTAACAGCAAATAACCTCTTTCTCTATGAAGATATTTTTGCTGCATCATTGGCACCATATCCATCCATAGGTCGGCTCTCTATGTCTGTTAGCTCGCATAGTCACTCTTTTTGATCTTAATTCCATTAGCTTTGAGCAAATTTTGTCGGACACTCAATCATATTGTTATTTTTCTAGTAGGCAATGACAAATTCAGATTGAGTCTCATTTCATACACTTTAACAGATGTCCAGAGTTAGTCCTTCAAATGGATTCACGAAATATACTACTTATCTAGAAATAAGTATATCGACATTGTATCCATGCTCGCCTCATGCACATTAGTCCAAACGAAGGTACCCTCAAACCCATTATATTTTAATGATTCTCCTAGCTGGTAGATCAAAATCTTTTTCGCCGTAATTTGCATCTATTTTCTTTTAATGCGGCATCTGCTATATTGATGTGGTATCAATTTATATTATCAAAATGCTATTAAAGCACTAGCACTTAGCCAGCAGTGGTGAACATCCAGATATGAGTGAGGGGGCAATTCTGAGTAAAAGCTCAATCTATCCATGTGTAACAATAAGTTCTATAAGCAGGTGCAAGACCTTGAATTGACATCCTATTTAGCCGCCATTTTAGCGAATAATTACATGTAAAGAATTAAGGAACGCTCCATGGATTGCCATATGGCAACATAATCAGGATATGCCACAACCGTTGAAATGAAAATTGGGCGAGGGATTGCTTTCACTTGTCACTTTGACTTTGTGCTTACGATGGCGCCTCTCATAGACGATGCCAGCAAAACTTTTGTGAATGTACCCAGCCAATGGTCCAATGCTGTAAATCACGGATGCTATGACAGAGCATACGGAACTAGTATCGTTCCACAAGGTCACTTTGACAGTCCGACTAATTTACGAAAACAAGATCGAACCAACACTATAAAGCTAAAGGAGACTGTGACCAAATACAAGGCCACACAATTTTAGTCTTCATATATACGATAATCAGAATAGTTTAGGTAATTATTTGTCCTTAATTAATAATTTTGATTGTATTATTAGGTTCGCAATGGAGACATAGAATAATAATAATTTCATGTTGGAGTATCTTTCATTTCGTTTGAAGAGGCCAGTGGAAGTGATTCGTAATTTAGCCCTACCTGAAGTTGTAGAGGGACAGCCTTTGAGCTATGATTGTAGAGTTATGCGAATAGGTCCTCGGCCCACCGCTCTGCGACCCCA